CAGATATACTTTTGTTTCGCCGCGTTTAATGGTCGTGAATTTTCAGAATGTCTCCCCCGGGGGCTGGCTGAAAATGAATTTCACGTAGCGAAACGCGACGCGGTGCATCGACCCCGCAAAGCCGATCGATATTCTCCACGGTCGAGTCTCGCGAACGCCACACCGGCGAACGCATGGAAACCTTCCACCCGGGCAGATTTCAACTTTTATCCCCCTGTAAACCGTAAAAATTGTTGATTCCTCGCCGAGTGCCAACTCCCAACCCCCCACCATCGCTTCTCTCTCTCTCTCTCTCTCTCTCTCTCTCTGCACAGGAATCTCGCGCTCTGCTCTCCTCTTTTTACATTTTCTACTCGAAAGTACAAGCCGAGAGAGCACGATGGCGCACGTTGCTGGAGCAACAAAGTGGAACAACTTCTATCGTGTTGTTCGAATTTCCCTCTCGTTTCGAAATTATGGCAGCAAATTCGAATTCTATATAGTTCGCGGGCCACCGACTGCGTAATTTAGAGCAATTCTTTTAGGCAAGGACCTCCGGGAACGAAGTAAAAGGAATTTAAAATCTTCAGCGACGCCTGAATGTTGGGAATTATTATTTATTTTGTAGAGTATTGTATTTTGTAGAGTCGCGTACGTAGAATTGCGTTAATTTAGCTGCAATTTATTCTAAAAATACGTAATGATTTTTAATAATCTTTATTCTTCTCCAAACTAGTCTTTTTACAATGAACAAATTCCTTCTCTAAACGAGATGTTTCGATGACTCGTACTGAAGTTTCGACGTCTCTTTAAACTGATATGTCAAGAGGTCGAGTTAAATGAATGATTATCACATTGTCACATTAATTTCTCATTATAACCATTATTATAAATTTTCTGTCTCTCACATTTTATGTCATTTCTATGAACAGGTTCCCCCTCTTGTTTCTTAAAATATGCATACGCTAAAGTATATATGTGTTCTAGGTTGAGAGAGGAAGTTGCAGACTTCCTGAAATCACGGAGATTATCGTCTAGCAAGTAAATCTTCCGTAGGTAAATCTTCCGTAGGCAAATCTTCCGAAACAGCCGAGTTCCGATCGATTTTAACGCATTATCCTCGAGTGCTTCATCGGCGATCGAACCGCGACCGCGATAACAATAAGTTTTAATTGGGCAGCGAGTGGAAAAGGGGAGAACAGAGAAAAACGAAAAGGAAACAAAACCACGGGGGAATTCACATCGACTGCGTTTCTCGTTTCCCATTGGAGAACTTCAAAAAAAAAAACAACGAATTCCTTCGATATCGATGTATTACTTTCCATTTGTGCCAGAGGAAACGCGAAACGTTTCGTTCGGATAGAGATTACTCAAACGTTATTCGTTATGAAAAATATAATTGCTAGATTGTTGCGTATGAAATACTGTTAAATAATATCTACGTGAATTTAAAGCGTAAAGCTTGTTGGATCGATGTTTTGTCAATTTTTTTTTTTTTTTTTTCGTTACGAACAAAGAAGATGACAGTGTATTATAAATGAATCGTAAACGAAATTCAAGTACAAGTAGAAAATTTGTAAAAATTTGTACGGAAGCTACATTAAAAGCAACTTGCAGTTTGTATCATTCGCGCAAGTATTAAATTTGAATTAAATTTAGATCATCGAGTAAACATTTTAATTACAATAATTTAAATATCATTTAATGTCATTTCAATTTCGTTTAATAATAAAAATTGTATCAAATCTGACGAGTTGAAGTTAAAATTTTTAGTTAAAATTACAGCATTATTTTCGAGGAAAATTATGAACGTTGAAACTCAAGAATTTGACCATCTGCAACAGTTTAATGCATCGCTCGTTATAATACTTAGCGGGTGGAAACTAATTTTGTTTGCAAGAGTGACATGATGAACTACAACAAACCATTTATTAATTTAATAAAATTACTAGGTTGAAAACTTGTAGTTTAGAAATAGAGAATAATTTTCTGCACAAAAAAAAAAAAGAAAAAAACTAACATCTTCGTCGAGAGAGAAATATTGCAGTTGTCGAAATACGATTTGACACGTCCCACGCTCGTTTTAACCACCTCTCACGCTAACGATTTTCAAAAACTGATACCACCTTCTTCGCCACGTACAATCTGTTCCCGATACGATGCCAAGCACTGACGATGGTTACCTGTTGATGCAGACTGGTTGCGTTATTCTATCCGCCTCATTGTGTTCTTTCGTCAAGTTTCCTAGCACGATTAGACCGTTCTATTCATCTGCCTCTAACGCTTTTATTTTCGTAAAATATTACAGAGAATTTATAAAAATTTTCACAGAATATATTGTGGAATTTGTGAAAATTTTTGTAGAATATTGTGGAGTTTCTATGAAATATTACAGAATCTTTTGTAGAATATTATAAAATTCATACAATATGAAAAAAAATTAGTCGACACTTCTATGTTGAAGTTTTTTAGAATTTTTTACAGAATTACCTATCGCAGAATTCGTGGAATGAATCCGCGGTAGAAATTTTTGTAGAAATTGTTGCAGAATTTCTAGAAATTTTTATGGAAAAAATTTATTCGAATTCAATTCAGCAATTTTGTGGTCAATATACAGGATTCATGCAACTGAGAACGGATCATATTTTTCGCTGGTCGCAATTGGCGAAAAAATTTTTAGGGCAGAAAGATGAATGATTCAAACAGGACCATATTTCCACGGTCGTATATTTTCCACGAATGTTACGACACAGGTACAATTTAACTATTTTTTTTTTTTTTTTTTT